GTTTATCGTCTTACCCAGGACGCAGATATCGTTTATCGTCTTACCCAGGACACGGACGTAATTTATCGTCATACCCAGGACGTGGACGTAGTTTATCGTCATAAGCAGGACGCGGACGTAGTTTATCGTCTTACCCATGATGCGGACGTAGTTTATCATCTTACACAGGACATGGACGTAGTTTATCGTCTTACTGAGTACGCAGACGTAGTTTATCGTCTTACCCAGGATGCGGATGTAGTCTATCGTCTTACCCAGGACATGGACGTAGTTTATCGTCTTATCCAGGACGCGGACGTAGTTTATCGTCTTATACTGAACGCGGACGTAGTTTATCGTTTTACTCATTTAATTTTCTTCCTACCGGCTTTCACTCGTCAAACATCAAATACCTGCAATAAGACTCTTCCCAGTTTTCTTGGTCATTTTTGTAATTCACCCACCCCACGAACTTAGGCGATAATGCCAGTAATACGCAAGGGTCTACTGTCAGTCAAAGAGAATGATGTAGATTCTAGAAGGAACTGGTGACCCAATCCTAAGCAGAAAACAACGTATAAACTCTTATTCCTGTTCAAAAGTATGAACCGGACGATAGGCGAATCTATCCACACCTGATTTCTGATTCTTCCTAATTTGTAAGACGCTAGAGAGTCTTCCTAAATCGCTAGTGACGATAGGCATAATAATCATAGTTTTTAGTTTCTTGACAATGTCGAAATTAGCGTTCCTCGACCGGTGCGTTTGAATGCACTAAGGCGCCCTGAAATTAGCCAGGTGCGCCTCAAGTTAACAAATGAGGAATTTATGAATTATTTTTATATTTAAGGAAAAGAGCTAGACACACCAAACTTCTCTATCTAAGTCTTTGTCATTTGATCGTTTAAACTGAATGCTAACTTCCTTAATCTTTAAGGAGTGGATAATCCTTTCCTTTTGCCTTCCTCAAAGGATTTAAATCGGCCTCTTTAAAATAAATAGCAGATTCTCCCTTTAAATGAAAACTTTACCGCTTAAATATACAATGTAATGCCTAAAAAATAAATAAATATTTCAGGAGACTCTTTTATAATTTTCCGTTTTTCATATTTCGTGACTAATTTTTCTCTGCTAAAATTTAAAGCATGCTCCATAGTTTTAGTAATGCTACAATTGTAAAAAAAAAAAAGAAGAAAAATAAGGCGGAGAAACACTGCTATAGGTACACCGTAGTGCAATTTAATTAAAACAACCGCTTTATTTTCCTTTCTTTTACCATACGGTGAATTCAAGACCCACTCAATTGAGAGGGTTTAATCGATTTCTATTTTTTTCCTCAGATTAGGTCATTTGCAGTGGTGTGCAGTAATATGAGTCTATTTTCAGCGTGTATGATGAAATTTGTTAGGCCTTGAAAAATATTGCGTCATCCGTGATTGCATCAGATTTTCATCACGCCCATGCACTATTGTCTCGACTGTCGATTAGTTGTTCTACGACCATTGTCTGCGATGGACGTTTCTCTAAGGAAGCGTACAAAAATTGTAACGCTGCACAAACGCATTGGTAAGCCTTACCAGTGAGCAAATCAAAGTACTACAGACTAACTCGGAAACTCTCCTGATATAAATCCAATCAAGAATCTGTGGTGAATCTGCAAGAAACTACTTTGTGGAATGGATATACGAAGTACTAACATGTGCACTGGCTCTTGTTTCATTAGAAAAATACGAAAAAAAATTAATAACAGAATTATTCATTTTGTTTCAATTAATTTGCACAAGGGTGCATGTGAATTTAAGCGTGCTACTAGATTGGCATCTAGGTCTCACCATTTTACTGTCGAAATAGTTAAATGTAAGCGCCATTTCTACTCCAACAGTTCCTTTTCTTGCATTTTCCGCTTGTGGAACTCCCTTCCGTTTACTTGCTTCCTTGAAAACTACAGTCTTCAATAAATTAAATGCAATGCCAATCGCCATCTTTTTTCTGCCCGGCTTTTGGAATGTGTCCTTGGCCGTCCCAATACGTCTACGGATCTCAGTGTCGCACTTACCGTCCTCTGTTAGAACGCTTTCCAGATATTTAAACTTCCGAGTCTGCTTGATTCTAGTGTGCCCGACCAGCAAATCGCATTTCGGGCTCTTCCTCTTACTGATGACCATGCATTGTGTGTTCTTGTAGCTTATGCTTAGTCCTTTCTTCTTTCTCTCCTTCGCTACCTTCTGTAGGAGATTTCGTAATTTAAAAGTAGAATTCGGTGACGAATTTAAATCACCGTATTTTTTTGCAAAATCGGACACTGTCTTACCAAAAATCTGTTCTGAATCGAAAAATTAAAAAAAAAACGCAATAAAACCAAGAAATTATTTAATTAGAAAGGTTTTAATTGTTTTTATGAATAATATTCATTGAAACAATATTGTCTGAAAAAAATTCGATGAAAAATTAATTTTTACAAGATTTGTTTTCATTTTTTTACAATTTTAACTTGAATAATTTATAAAGATTTTAAATTGTATACATTTCACTTTAAATGAGGTAAATCTTTAAAAAATATTGTTATTAAGTAAATCTATATTTACTAATCATATATTGGAAAGCTTATTACAATCTGACGAATCCGAATATTTTAAAAATAAATTTCGATTTGTTTTTTATGTGTATATACGTGCAGAATTTCTAAAGTATAGGTTTACAAACCGATAAATTTATGATTAAATTGTGTCTTAAGGGTTGTCCCCTTTATAAACTTTATCGTCTATTCCACTACACTTAACTATGAACATGTTCGGCGATCAGTCGGCTGCTATTTTAATCAATTAATACGTCAGGAAAACAAGACACCTTGATTAAGAAATGCTTGCGTACAACATTTTATGCTATAAGGAAGTAATATTTGTTTCAAATCAGACTCATTTAACTTTAAAATTGCTAAATTTCCTCAAATAACGTTTCAGAAATATATATTTTAATTTTGCAATATTTTTAAAACCGAATTAACTTTTGTTTACAAATCTGTCAAAATGGCCAACTTTTACCGATTTTAGTGAAAAAAAAATCGATTCCGGTCAACATAATTTCAGTTTGAAATACCCCACAGAGTACTTTGCTGATTGGAAATAGTAAATTTTAAATCCTTTAGCTTTCAACTAAAGCTAAAAAAAAGTTTCAAGAAAGCTTTTACATTTAAAAAAAAATCATTTCAAACGTTACGTACATTGAATTAGTGAACGTATATATATATATATATATATATATATATATATATATATATATATGTATATATATATATATATATATATATATAGTTTAAAAAAAGAAACCATTGATTTTAATTTTAAAAGTCTCTCAGGGCCCTTTCATAACATCTCATCAGAGACAATCGTTGGATTAAAAAGAATATTAACGATATTGAAGAGCAAAAAAAAAAAAAAAAGGAAACAACTAAAATAACGAACAACAATATATACTTGTAACGAGGGAAGGGATCGTGTAAATAAATTAGCGAGGGACAGTTAAAATAAAATATCCCCCAACAGATTCAGAGACCTTATAAATTCTTTCTGCCGGCAGAGAAGATTTATTTACACGATCCTTCCCTCGTTACAAGTATATATACTTGTTTGTTATTTTAGTGTGTTTCCTCCTTTTTTTTTTTTTTTTTGCTCTTCAATATCGTTAATATTCTTTTCGCTAATCCAACGATTGTCTCCTGATGAGATGTTGGCTGAAAGGGCCCTAGAGACTTTTAAAATTAAAATCAATGGTTTCCTTGTTTTTAAAACTATTTATAAATTTTGTACCTCCAAATATTTGTTTATATATATATATATATATATCAAAGTGTAGGAGAACGGACAGTAAGATTACAGCGTTCAAAACATTAATTTAAAAACAGTGCTCAATACACAAAGTAGAGCCGTAAATATGTATTTATTTATTTATCTTATGCAGTATTACATTAGAACATTCACATATCCCTAACAAAATTGTACATTTTTGTTTCGACGTCAAAAAAGGAAGGCCTTTTTTAGACGTCTCATAAGGTGAGGAATTACGGTGTTACTAAATATTTTTATTCAGAAATACAGTTATCGAAGCAAATATCCCCCACTTCCGTTCTTTGGAAATTTTCATAAAATGTCTTCTCGAATTTCAATGTAGAGATGGAAGGCAATCTAATGCATTAAATAGTCGTAGTCGAACGAAAAGGAAAGGGAAAAGAAAAAAAAGGGGAAGGGAAAAGAAAGAAAGAGGCTAAGGGAAGAGGATGATGTGATAAGCGCTAAGAGGAGATAAAATCTGGCCATAGAATTTCGTTAGGATGTAAAATTTGAACTTCAACGGTCTCCTAAGTTGGTTAGGTAGGGGTTTCAAGTAAGAAATAATTTGCAGCTAGAGACAGTTATAGTAAAGGTTAGAATATAAGGAATCTTTTATTATCCTTCATATTATTTTTATTTTGGGATAAAATATTGTCAAGAATAATTCGAGTAATATAATTTTTTATTTTTAGGGAGAAATAGGGGTAAATTCCATATAAAAATAAAACGCAAAATAAGATTAAATTAGTACTAACTTTCCATTTATATTAACGTAGATTGGAAAAGTGAATCAATACTATTATATATATATATATATATATATATATATATATATATATATATATATATATAATTTTTGTTAACAATTTCTTTGAAATTTTTTTCTCAGTACTTCAACAGTCCTTTCGTTTTTTCATGGACGCCATGTTCTTTGAGAGCTTGTTTAGACCAAATTAATGGCATTTTAGGCTTCCTCCACGTGAACAGGGGTTCACTTTTTGTATAATAAAAATTATACGTCACGGAAGGCGGCTTCAGGATTTTAGAGACGCTCAGATGATGCATGGCTAAAATAAAAAGGTTGGGTTTATAGCCGCTAAAATCTGCATTTGCCGTTTGAACTGGATCGTAATCTTTTGGGGAAAATAGCAAAAAAATAAGAAAAAGTTAATATATGTTTTAGAGAATATTTAAATGAACGTCGATATCACTTTTCATATGTTAACCACCAACATTGACTCATATTCTGAATCGGCATTTAATCCTTTTTACCAAGTTCGCTTATGGGAATAATGAAAGCAATTTCATTTGAAATCACCTTGAAGAAAATCTAATTCAATATTTAGGGAATCTACACATAACAGGCATTCTAGAATTTGCATTAAGAATATATATATATATATATATATATATATATATATATATATATATATATATATATATATAATAAAGACGGAGACTTTAATTATCTCTTCCATGGATAATTAAAGTCTCCGTCATCTTCTGGTCATTATAATGCTCTGTAGTCTACATTGAGCTCTCCTGGATTTATATCCGCCCGATAATTATCCCTTCCAGTCACAAATGGTAAGACGACGTATATATATATATATATATATATATATATATATATATATATATATACAGACAATAAAATCCAAAATCGCCAGCTTAGGTAAGTACATACACTCCATTATTCAGTTAGAGCATTTTGCGCCGCCGCTGTGGTAATCACTCCCCTTCATCTCACAATTGTGTTTTATGGTGACATTCAAGGCAGAATAGTGCAATGGCTTGCCGGTTTCTTTGGCACCGTCGATGTGGTCACCACTCCTCTCCATCTCGCAATTGTGGTACATGATGACATTCAAGGCAGAATAGTGCAATGGCTTGCCGGTTCCTTTTGCACCGTCGATGTGGTCACCACTCCTCTCCATCTCGCAATTGTGGTACATGATGACATTCAAGGCAGAATAGTTCAATGGCTTGCCGGTTCCTTTTGCACTGGTGATGTTGAGGTGCAGCTTAAGCGGGACGGGAGCGCGTTGATTGGGGCTGGGGGCGGCTGTTGGTTGCCGTGGAGGTCAGTTTCGTTCGGTGGTGCGGATGCGGTCGTGGGGACGGTGGTTCCGGCTGGGGTAGGTGTGATTCCGACTGACGGTGGCGTTCTGCGTTATCGTCGTCGGCAGTTACCTTTTGTCGTCGTCTCCCTCTTCCGTTTTCTTCTCCGTCGGGCGGGCGGGCCTCCTCCTCTTCGGTTGGCCGGCGCGCTTCGCTCGTCCCTGATTTTCTGGCCTTCGCCGCGACCGGCGTCGTTCGGTGTCGTCGAACCTGAAATACCGCCACTTCCGTCGTTTCCTCGCTCACCCGGTGAAAAAGGGGACGGGTCGCTCGGCGGCCCTCTTGCTAGCGCCAAGGGTGCAGGCTCCCCCACCCCGGATTGGGGCCCGCGCTCGACCCTTAGCCGGGGACCGTGCCGGGCGGGGAGTTTGACTGGGGCGGTACGTCTGTCAAACGGTAAAGCAGGTGTGCCAAGGCGAGCTCAGCGAGGACGGAAACTCTCCTCCATCTCACAATTGTGTTTTATGGTGATATTCAAGGCAGAATAGTGCAATGGCTTGCCGGTACCTTTGGCACCATCGGTGTGGTCATCACACCCTCCATCTTACAATTGTGGTACATGGTGACATTCAAGTCAGAATAGTGCAATGGCTTGCCGGTTCCTTTGGCACCGGTGATGTTGAGGTTACCCGGTCCCTCCTCGAAGAAGTTAAAGAGGCAAGCCCTAAAAGGCAGCAGGTGGTTTTCCTCCTTCAAGATGGACGAGGGTATATGGAGGCCGGACGTTGCCCAGAATACATGGCTCCTAACTCGACCGCACCGTCTAGATTCAAAGGAATGCAGGGCATTGCATTTACGGACAGCTTGATTGCAGCAGTTGCCGGGACGTTGCCATTGACTGGTGCTGCAGAATCGCAAAGTGCTATACCAAATACCAAAAATCAAATGACTTGAGGACTTTCAACAGCAGCAACAACTAAAATGGATAGCACATGAAAAGAAGAGAAATTAATGACCCTATTAAGATGTTGACATTCCAGACTATTTCGAAAAAAGTTAGGGAAGAAGACACCCATCAATATTGGAAAGGGCAATAGCAGTAGATTTGAGAAACTAATTTTCCAGAAAGAATATCTTAAGAGACTTATTTTATAAGTTCCAAACGAAAGTAACACTGTCTGTACGGTCAATGAATGTCAAATATTTCCTTATAACGAAATTAACATTATGATGAAGAGAAAATATACTACACTTTGATCCAAGCCCAGGGAGTGAAGAAAAACTTAACTTCAGTAGCACTGGCTGTTCGGACAACGAATACCGAATGTTTTCTCACAAAGAAACGGTTAATATTATCATTACCAAAAGAGATGAGGAGAACATGGTCTTCACTTTGATCTCAGGTCAATGGCCAAGGAAGAAAGTAAAGCATAATTGAACTGGCTGCTCAGTCAATGAACGCTGACTGTTTCTTTATCAGGAAACGACTAATATTACTATTACCAATACCATCTTTTTCTTTACCCCATTAAATATAGGGTGACCCAAAAAAAACGGGAACTTTTTAACAATCCAATAAAACCAAGAGTGATGGAAGAAAAATATTTTATTCATAGTAATTGAAACCTTAAAACATGTCATTTAAGAAACAATGATGGAATTTTCATTTTTTAAAAATTACGTCCTGTAGATGGCGTCCTCCTGTACGAATGCATTCTTGAAATCTGCTGTTGAGATTCCTCATTGGCTGCTGCAACATTTCAGCTGGGATACTGTGAATTTCATCTTGAATTCGAAATGGCGAAATGTTTACTTGCTCAAGGCAACTGTCTCGCAATGTTGCCACTTGCTCATGTCTGGCAATACACACTTCAAAAATTCCTGTTTTTTTGTGGTGGGGGGTCACTCTGTATATGGCAATTAAAGAAATTTGGGATAGCGAAATTCCCTTCCAAAAACAAAGCAAAGCATCAAGAAACAGGAAAATTTCGTTACAAAGATAGAAAATAGTACTGAATATTTGTATAATTATATAATGTAGATCATCTTATATGGCAGTGGATTCTGGACAATCTCCTAACAGATGAAGAAAAGGCTTGAGGCAAGAAAAATGTGGTTCTACAGAAGGATGTTGAGAAAAACATTGATTGAACATGTGAACAATGGCTAAGATTTAGAGAAAATGGAAACAAAATAGGCACTTAGAATTAGAAAAAGGCAGTTGAAATTTCTAGGGTACATGATGAGGAAAGATGACTTAGTAAACTTGACACTCACAGGACATATTAAAGATCAGAGAGACAGAGAAAAGCAAGGCATAATCTCCCTAAAGAGCTTGTAAAGATGGTTGGTAGGACAGGAATTAGGAGTAATAGTGAAAAGAGAAAATTGTGGAGAGCCATGATCGTCAACATCCTCAAGGGACACGGTACAACAAAGAAGAATTAGTTTTTTTTTCTTACAGGTGCTCGCGTTAAACTTGACTAATTCGGTTTTGATCGCGTGGAAAGACATATTACTGACGCCACTTGATTTCAGTGGAAAAAAAGAAAGGAAGAAATAGATAGATAGATAGATAGAAGTGTTTAACGTTTCTTGCTAATACCTCATAAATAATTGACGATTCCGTTTTGATCACGTGGAAAGTCAAAGGACATATGAGAGACGCTACTTGGTTTCAGTGAAAAAATGAAAGGAAATGTTGGACGTTTGTTTCAGCCAAATGGAAAAAGTTGTCAATTTCAATTTTTTTTTCATTTGTACCCCCTGTCGGAGTTATCTCCTCCTAAATTCTGACACCACTACTTGGTGGGGGTGGGGGTGCTATCCCTAAACTATATATATACTTGAGAAAAACCTTTCTTTTTCTTTCATTTTCAGTGAACTACGACCACGTATGCTCTCGCAGAAGATAAGCGTTCCCTCTTGTGGGAGACGCCATGAACATTATACACCCAAAAACGCACACACATGCACGTACGTACGAACATTCACTCACGCATTTCTTAGAACACAAACTTTACACAATCATTTGTTATACATACACATTATTGTTTTTTGTAATTTATATCCGTTTAGTTGTTAATGCACATATATTTGTACATATGAATTGTTTTCGCTTGGACCCATTTTGAGCCCGCCATATTTGTAGTGGACTTTATTTCAGGAGACCACACGTGTTGCATTTGACAACGCGTATTAAACCCTCGTTCCGTTATACCTCTTACTTCTTAAAATAATGACCAGCATTCATATTTATGATTGTCATTGCAATATTTTGTTAAAGTTGTTAAGCTCAAATATTTAACGATAGGATAGGGGAATTTCTACGGATATTTTATTGTCGTAGAACTCGCCATGAATTTATTCAGTCATTAACTTAAGAATTAAGATTCATCAGAAAATTCAAATAGGAAAGCTGTGAAATTTTCATGGGTTAAAATTAGTATTATTTTAATATTCAAAATCACTTTTGGATATCCATCAAAAATTTATGATTAGTAATTGTAGTCGTAGGGTTTTTTTTTTGTGTGTGTGTGTGTGTGTGTGTGTGTGTGTGTGTGTGTGTGTGTGTGCGCAAGCGCGTGTTTTTCGTAGTGGTAGCGGTAAGTATTAATAGGGCTAAAGTTACAAGTGGAATAACTGTAATAATCATTTGTTTTGTCCACTTGAATGAAACCCCACTTGAACCGACATCAATAACGCACCTCCCTGTGTTACGTCTGTCTCAATGACGTATACCATACGTAATAATGACGTCACAAGTGTTCGACCATCCACTTTGTTTCTAATATCCTATTTTGTACTGAAATAATGGCTGTCGGTGTACAAACAATTCTGCCATATTGGTGAAGATTTATTAAATGTTCCCTTCTTTCTTTTTCTTTTTACGAATTTGAACAGAACTAGAAAAATATTTTCCTGGAATTTGTTTCCATATGCAAACCACGCCTGTGTCTAGCCTTTTGTCTTTTATGGAGACCAAACCTATGTCCATCTTTTTGGTTTACGTCCAAAGCCAGCCGAAGTCTATCCTTCTAACTCTCGTCCAAACTAAAACCTAGAATAAGTTATAGTATCGATGACAAAATATTAAACACGATTTATTTTTAGGCTGTTTATTTGAAAGAATTGTGTTTAATAATTTTGTTTTCTATAGTCGAGAAACACAAAACAATTCATGAGTTCAGTTTCCAATCTTTGGGTTTCATTTTAAGTCTCAGAATAGCTTTTAAAAAAAATAAAAAAGTGCGGAGGGAGTATAAAGTAATAGCGGTGTCAGGAGAAAAAACGTTCCTTTTGAAAAATCTTTTTTTTTTTTGTTTTTTTTTAATGTTTTTTTTTTTTCTTTTTCAGGTACGAATGTTAACTTTACTCCTTTTTTCTTTCTTTACTCCTTTCCTTCCTCTTCCTGTCTTCCTTTGCTTTTCCCCCCTTTCTCTCTTTCTTTCATTCTTTTTCCGTTCTTTTTCCATTTCCCAATTCTTTCTCACCCCATATGGAGATGCCCTTATATATCCATTTCTTTCTTTCTTTCTTTCTTTCTTTCTTTCTTTCTTTCTTTCTTTCTTTCTTTCTTCCTTCTCTCGCGTTAGTCACTTTTTTTTTTTTTTTCATTTTTCAATTCTTTCTTCCATCTCTCTCTCTCTCTCTCTCTCTCTCTCTCTCTCTCTCTCTCTTTCTTTTTTATATCATTTCTGGAAACTTTTTCTTTCTTTCTTTCTTTCTTTCTTTCTTTCTTTTCCTTCCTTCTCTCACATCTTTCCATTTAATTTTCAATTCTTCCTAAACCCCCACCTTTTCTTTTTTTATAATTTGCGTTGCCCGTGCTTGATTCAAAAATCGCACGACTCATACAGCAATCGCTATCACTTGACTTAAAATATTTTTGCCCTTCCTTGCCTTTAAAGGAGTGCCCTTTGCCGTGCTGATGTTGCTACATGCTTACTTCCTATCTCACACTGCGAATTTTTCTAAGCTCTATACTAAACATTAAATCTGTTACGAAAAAAGAACTAAACAAAATGAACACAAAACGATCAGCTTTAAAAAAAGAACTCGTAACTGGAAAAACCGAATGAAAAAAGAATGTTAACAACAAATACTTTTTCACACCCAACCCAATTCTGCAGAATCAGAATCAACGTTGAGTTTAAGCAAGCGAATGAGTCAATTGGAGTAAAGTGCCATGCAGATTTAATTTCACACTTGTGACGAATGCAGCTATCGATTTTTTTGCATGCTAGCATGCTAGTTAATATTCTTGTCAGTCAGCTGTTGGCTCTCACGCTGGCCAATAGAATCTTCCTGCCTATTCGTGGCAGCCAGCTATAGGCTCTCATTCTAGCCGGTAGAAAATGGCTATCGATGGGAGTTGGGAAATGCAAAGTCGGTCTTGGCCTTTCCGCTAACTTGGAGCATGTGCATGTAAATTTTGGTGCAAAATCCGTCGAAAATTGCGGCCGTGCATTCGTTACACACGCATATATATATATATATATATATATATATATATATATATATATATATATATATATATATATATATATATATATATTTCAGTGCTTTTATTTGCTTGTCAACATGTATTCGTCCGTAATTCATTGTTTCTTTTTTTCGTTTCTTTCTTTCGTTTCTTTTCTTTCGTTTCTTTCTTTCTTTATGTCGCTCGTCTCTTTTTTCTTTCTTTCTTTGTCAGCTTGTATTCTCTCTTTCTTTCTTTCGTTTCGTTTCTTTCTTTCTTTTGCTAGCTTCTTTCTTTCTTTCTTTGTGTCGCTCGTTTCCTTTTCTTTCTTTGTCATCCTGTATTCTTCCTTTCTTTTGGTTGTTTTTTCTTTCTTTCCTTTTTCGTTTAGTTTCTTTCATTTTTTTCTTTCTTTCTTTCTTTCTTTCTTTCTTTCTTTGTCAGCTTGTATTCTTTCTTACTTTCTTTTGCTTGTTTCTTTTTTCTTACTTTATGTCGCTCCTTTCTTTTTTCTTTCTTTCTTTTTCTTTCTTTCTTTCTTTGTCACCGTGTATTTTTCCTTTTTATTTCTCCTTTCTTTCTTTCTGTCTTTTTATCTTTCTTCCTTTCTTTTAGCTCTTTTCTTTCTTTCTTTTTCTCCTTTCTTTATTTCGATCGTTTCTTTTTTCTTTCTTTTTTCTCTCTTTCTTTCTTTCTTTTTTTCTTTCTTTTTTCTTTCGTTCGTTTTTTCTTTCTTTTTTTTTTCTTTCTTTTCTCCTTTCTTTATTTTGATCGTTTCTTTTTTTCTTTTTTTCTCTTTCTTTTTTTTTTTTTTTTCTTTCTTTCTTTCTTTCGTTCGTTTCTTTCTTTTTTTTTCTTTCTTTTCTTTTTCTCCTTTCTTTATTTTGATCGTTTCTTTTTTTTTTTTTCTCTTTCTTTCTTTCTTTTTTTTTTTTCTTTCTTTCGTTCGTTTCTTTCTTTCTTTTTTCTTTCTTTCTTTTTCTCGTTTCTTTATTTTGATCGTTTCTTTTTTCTTTCTTTTTTCTCTCTTTCTTTCTTTCTTTTTTTCTTTCTTTCTTTCTTTCGTTCGTTTCTTTCTTTCTTTTTTCTTTCTTTCTTTTTCTCCTTTCTTTATTTTGATCGTTTCTTTTTTCTTTCTTTTTTCTCTCTTTCTTTCTTTTTTTCTTTCTTTCTTTCTTTCGTTCGTTTTTTTCTTTCTTTTTTCTTTCTTTCTTTTTCTCCTTTCTTTATTTCGATCGTTTCTTTTTTCTTTCTTTTTTCTCTCTTTCTTTCTTACTTTTATTCTCTGTCAGCTTGTATTCTTCCTTTCTTTGTTTCTTTGTTTCTTTCTTTCTTTTTTCGCTCGTTTCTTTCTTTCGCGCATTTCTTTCGCTCGTTTCTTTCTTTCTTTTTTTCTTTTGCGCGTTTCTTTCTTAATTTCTTTCTTTCTTTCTTGTCTCTATTTTCTCCGTTTCTTCATCTTTTTTCCTTATTTTTCGTTGTTTTTTGTTTTGTTTTTGCGTATTTAGATTTCTTTATAATCCATTCTCTCATTTTTTTTCTTCACTTTCTTGTTCATGCAGTGCTTTACATAAAGGCTTGTTTTACTACAGACTTTAAATGCATCGAACATGTGAGATCGATCTTTGACTATTTTATCATTTTTCTTTTTCTTTGTTGTTTTTTTTTTAATTTTTACGTTTATTTTATTTTACTTTACTTTACTTATCTATTTCTTCATTTTTTGTTTTCCTAAACTAATAAAACGTATGTAACAAGCTTCATTCTTCTCAACTTTGAAAAAGATTTATTTTCATTTCTATTTATGTTTGTATGCCAAGCAGACATTTTTAGGAAGGTTGACTTTTAATAGTGACTCTGCCGAAAAGGATCACTGAGTTGTCATTCAATTAGTTATCGAAGTGCAAATGTCGGAATTTAAGGATATGTTCTTAGACACGTATATGTTAACGGAATGCTTTGACCATGTTAGAAGACAATGGAAAGGTTGTTTGTCGGCGGCCATTTTTTTTTTTTTTTGCTAGCATACAAAGATGCCATGTGAGTCAAATATTGTTAGAAAACAAGAGACTATTGGAATGTGTACTGGAATATTTCTTTTGGAGATCTTTATTTTGGGAGAGGGAGCTTTTATTTATTTATTTATTTCGTCGTAACTATCATGCTCCTTCTTTCTTTCTTTCTTTCATTCCTTCATTTTGTTCATTCTTTCTTTCGTTCATTCATTCATTCAATCATTTTTTTCTTGATTTCTTTCATTCATCCTTTCATTCCCTCATTTTGTTCTTTCACTCTCATTCATTTTGTTCTTTCATTCTTTCATTCGTTTATTCATACATTTTGTTCATTCTTTCTTTCTTTTGTTCATTAATTCATTCATTTTGTCTTTCGTTCATTCATTCATTTTATTCTTTATTTCGTTCATCCATTCATTCTTTGGTTTTGTTCTTTCTTTCATTCATTCGCTCATTCATTTTTCTTTCTTTCGTTTATTCGTTTATTTTGTTCTTACATTCTTTCGTTCATTCATTAATTCATTTATTTTTTCTTTCTTTCTTTTGTTCATTTATTCATTCATCTTGTTCTTTTTTCTTTTTTTCATTCATTCATTTTTCTTTCTTCTGTTCATTCATTCATTAATCTTGTTCTTTAATTCTTTCATTCGTTCATTCATACATTTTTTCATTCTTTCTTTCGTTCATTCATTCCCTCATTTTTTTCTTTCTTTTATACTTTCATTCATTTTGTTCTTTCATTCTTTCATTCGTTTATTCATACATTTTGTTCATTCTTTCTTTTGTTCATTAATTCATTCATTTTGTCTTTCGTTCATTCATTCATTTTATTCTTTACTTCGTTCATCCATTCATTCTTTGGTTTTGTTCTTTCTTTCATTCATACTCTCATTCATTTTTCCTTCTTTCATTCATTCGTTTATTTTGTTTTTACATTCTTTCGTTCATTCATTAATTCATTTATTTTCTTCTTTTTTTCTTTTGTTCGTTTTTTCATTCATCTTGTTCTTTCTTTCTTTTGTTCATTCATTAATTTTTCTTTCTTCTGTTCATTCAATCATTCATTTTGTTCTTTCATTCTTTCATTCGTTCATTCATACATTTTTCATTCTTTCTTTCGTTCATTCATTCATTCCCTCATTTTATTTTCTCTTTCATACATTCATTCATTTTGTTCACCATTCTTTCATTCATTCATTCATACATCTTGTTCATTCTTTCTTTCTTTCGTTCATTCATTCATTTTATTCTTTCTTTCGTTCATTCATTCATTCGTTGGTTTTGTTCTTTCTTTCATTCATTCTCACATTCATTTTTTCCTTTTTCCGTTCATTCGTTTATTTTGTTCTTATATTTTTTTCGTTCATTCATTAATTCATTTATTTTGTTCTTTTTTCTTTTGATCATTTATTCATTCATCTTGTTCTTTCTTTTGTCATTCATTCATTTTTCTTTCTTCTGTTCATTCATTCATTCATTTTGTGCTTTCATTCATTCATTCGTTAATTCATATATTTTTTCATTCTTTCTTTCGTTAATTCATTCATTCGCCTTATTTTATTCTTTCTTTCAGTCTTTCATTCATTTTACTCTTTCATTCTTTCATTCATACATCTTGTTCATTCTTTCTTTCGTTCATTCATTCATTGTTTGGTTTTGTTCTTTCTTTCATTCATTCTCTCATTCATTTTCCTCTTTCGTTCATTCCTTTATTTTGTTCTTTCATTCTTTCGTTCATTCATTAATTCATTCATCTTTTTCTTTCTTTCTTTTGTTCATTCATTCATTTTTCTTTCTTCTGTTCATTCATTCATACATTTTTTTTATTCTTTCTTTCATTCATTCATTCATTCCTTCACTTTGTTCTTTCTTTCTTTCGTTTGTTTATTTATTCATGTAGTTCTTTCGTTCTTCCATTTATTCATTCTATTTTTCTTTCTTTTTCTTTCTTTTTTTTTTTTTTGTTCATTCATTTTGTTCTTTCTTTATCATTTATAATTTTTCATTTCTCCTTTCTTCTTCATTCTCTTTTTTATTCGCTTACGTGCAAATACCCTTGGGAAAAGGCATGAACCCACTTCTCCTCTCAGGTATATGTTAAATAGAAAGACATATCAGAAATTATCCCCGCAAAAATTCTTACAATCTAAGAATATGTTTTGGATTTAATTAAGCTCAAAAAAGGTTGATAAGCCGTAAAAAACAAGCCAATCGTATGTTTCAAAATGAGAGTGAGTTTTGAGAAGAGGCTGAAAATTATCAAAATAAACCAAAGAATGGATCAACGTGAAACGGCTAAGGCACCTGCCGAAGTTGGAAGCTTATTGGATTATATAAACGAGATCGGTAGGTCTTCGATATTAGGTGTAAGGGTACGTCGGCTTAACAGTACCCAGTCTCAAATTAAAAAGCCCGCCAAGAAAGGGAATAAAATAAAGATGCAATTTAGAAACTAAGAGAAATACGTTTTAAATAGTTCGGTTGCAACAATGCTTCAAATTTTCGTTTCATATTTGTAATTTCATCCTCCACAAAACTCTTGGAGAGATGCACGAAAAACAGGGCAAATTACATCATCAGGATCTTAAGCAAATATTAGACTGCGTAATACGCATTTTTCCTTTTGCGAAAGCAACTATGACGAGGAATATATCATCGACGCCTGATTCAAACCCTCCCCAATCTTTTGAACAGGATGAGAGGTTTATCCCTTGTTTCTTGTTTAGAATTAGTTTTATTGATTCGTTTTCTACAGCTTGTTTATTCTTTCCAGGTTATTTAAAGCCAGAAAATATTTTTTAGCTGTTTGTTTTCGCTTGAGATAATAATGGTTTTAGTTATACGTCTTACTAATTAACCGAGAGATAGAAGAGAGAAACTCATCCCTTTCCCATGGGTATTTGAAAGCAAGTGAATACAAACAAACCTCTCGTCTACGGACACCCCATCAATGGACTTCGGATACAACGGACAAAAACTGCAGGCTTAAATTAAAAAAAAAAGCAAAGTTATACAGGAAAAAAACTTCCAAATCGTCAGCGATGCATTTCAAAATTTGCGGGCTTAGGGGAACTAGTCGTATTAGTTTACAAAGTGACCGCTTGGGGGCGTTGGCTGGCCTTTCAATTATAAGCAAAGGCAGGTGTACAGTATATAAAGTACGATACATTAGTGCCTACGTGAGAAAGTAGCTGTGAGAAATCTATTATTTTTGTTGCTGTGATTAATATATCTACATTAAGTATATATTTATTTATGCCATGTATACATGTTTATAGTATTTACATTATGATCATAACTAGTGGTTGTTACTATAATGGTTTTATAACTCAAAAATAATCCCTTCCCATCTACGGGCAATCGGATTTAACGGACCACACCTTCCTCCTATTTGTCCGTTGATGAGAGGTTTGTCTGTATAACGAACCCGGCAGGGATTGGAACTCGGGTCTCCGATTAACAATTTCGGGCCATTATACATTACACCAGCCGAGCATCCAAGCTTAGAGCACCTGATATTCACAAGTGGTTACCCATCTAGTTACTAACCAGCTTGCTGTTGCTTCCGTTATTGTACGACAACCGGTGTTTCAATCAGATGGGCATCCTTTTGTATTGGGTTTAAAGTTGCTTTCTCTCTCTCTCTCTCTCTCTCTCTTTCCCCCTCTCTCTCTCTCTCTCTCTCTCTCTGTCCACCTCTCTCTCTTTACTTCTGATAGTCTCTTGCGTTTTAGTGAAATTATGACCTTCCTTAGGGTGAACTGATGAAAAAACATCAAATAATACAAATATATGTCAACAGGCGATGAAAAGTGGGTTGCATATGACAATGATAAATCTCCATAACAGATTGACAAGTATAAATCTCCATAACCGATGCCGAAAGCTGAGCTCCAGGGTAGAAAAACAATGTTATGCGCGTGGTGGAATCGTTGGGGTGTTATTCATTTATAGTATTTAAAACGCAATCAAAGACTAAATGCACATTTATATTTCCAGCAGCTGCAATGTGACCATAAAAAAACTTGGTTGAAAAGCGCCTTGTATTTGTCAACATGAAAACAAGGCTGCATACAACAAGGATAAAACAGAAAATGACTGATCCATACGCTCGACACGATAAAATTATATTTTTGTCTAAAATTATAACTAAGCTTCAAGAAAGAGTTTTATGTTTATATTAACCGACCAATGCGGAGATTTTCACAATGACAAATTGCAAAGACAGTTAAGAAAGTGTGTGGCATATTAAAAAGAAACCAGTACATTCAATACATCATGTGAAAGATTGATTAATAGATCGATTGATTTATTAATTCTTTACGGTTTATTAGCCCTTTGTAGATTATTTAAATCCAAAACGCTGTAAAATCCGAAACCAAATATTTGGATTATATGATTTTTTTGTGAGTGAACATTGTAACTATTTATATTATTTACATTGTTCGGGTCGTTGCCCTCATATTTATTGCCATATTCATGACATTTCGGCCGTTGTACCCTCCAGCCTTCTTCAAGTGAGGGGAATTTCGAACTGAACCCTTTATTTAGTCCACCGGGGTAGATTGTTCCAATTCCACGTGCCGAATGTCTCAGTTATTTACCTTTAATGCAACACTCCAAGTTTGCTTTTGTTCACCATTGCAGTAGCCAGGTATTGAACTCACAACTCTTTGGGTTAAGTCACTGGATTCAACTAAGGCTTTTATCCACTGGGCCAATCACCTGAAGAAGGCCGGATCGTAACACAGCCGAAACGTCGTGAATATGGCAATAAAGATGAAGACAACAGTCCGAACAATGCAAATGATTAATTAATAACAATAAGTAATGTAAAAAAAAATAAGTTAATATTGTAATTTTGGAGGGATAATAAAGTTTTACAGATTATTTAATCTATAGTTAGGGGTGCAAAAAAGAAATAGATTCATGCCTTTTCCACGTGTGTTTTCGCGTAAGTGAATATAACCGACTAGACTGGAATTCGAACTCGGCTCTCCGATTTCTCAGTCCGAGCCGTTATTCATTAAACTGACCACACGTCCGAGTTTACAGCATCAGGTATTGTAAAGCGATCACCAATCTAGGTACTGACCAGGATCGACGTTGCTTAACTTCGGTGATTGGATGAGAACTGGCGTGTCGCTGTGATATTACCGTAAGCCCCTTGGGCGAATGACTTTTACGTTATGATGACTTAAGAAATCAATACGCGATTGAATACAAAAAAAAAAACAAAAACACGTTTGCTGCAAAAACAATGGTCTACCCACAAAAATAGTATATCAGATGTGACAACATAATTGTCCAAATTGTGTAACAGCAAAATTGTCCAAATTGTGTAACAGCAAAATTGTCTAAATTGTGTATCAGCAAAATTGTCCAAATTGTGTAACAGCAAAATTGTCCAAATTGTGTAACAGCAAAATTGTCCAATTGTTATATTTGAACCGTTAACAGTCATCCATTAGAATGTGAATTTCAAAGTTGAAGGAAGAACGCTGGAAAGAAAGGGTGCGAGAAGAGTAGGACCAGGGAGACCTGGCAGCCGGTATTTGGCAGCAGCCATATTGATTCTACGGCCTCGACTGGATACAATTACTGATCTCCTCGCAAAGGAGAGTTCGCTTTAGCCGTTTGACGGCCAGCTCGACGGATTTGAACAGTTCCCATGTCGTGCTTGACTTTGGTCAGTGTGAGATCACTGTCAGAACGGAATGGACGAAGAAAGTGGGATGAAGAAAATATATTATAAGAAATTATTTTGCTTATCTAATTATCTATGTAAAACTGTTTTACCACACACAGAGACATGCGGGCACACACGCACTCATACCACATGTAACGGCAAAATTGTCCAAATCGTGTGACAGCAAAATTGTCCAATTGTTATATTTGAACCGTTGTATCTTAGAAATGATTAAAGATATCTTACTGGAATTCTTCATGGTTTTTATAACACTGTTGGACTATAATCGGAACAATAAGAATCTATAATTACTCTCAAAGCTTAAAGGAAGAATCGTGATGGAATCAATCATAAACGAAAATGACATGTTCATCATTAATTAATCATAGCTAAGGATCGGAATCTCATGGAGAATTGAAATAAAGTTTATTTATAATATATTTATTTATATATATATATATATATATATATATATATTATTCCAGAGTCATTTTCCAATATATTCACGATGATCTTCGCCCTCTCTAACCTACTTTTTGTCCTGTAGAAGAGGCACGGTGGAGTAATGGATAGCGGCTAGGATTGAGAAATCGAAGATCCGAGTTCGAACTCCAGTCGAATCCATTATAGTCACTTACTTGCTAATACCCTTGGGAAAGTTATGAATCCTCTTCTCCTTCTCTCTTCAGCTATGGGTAAATAGCAGGACAGACTGAATTCTATGGCAACTGGTCTACCGTAGAAAGAAATGGCAACCTATTGCGGGAAAAAATCTGTATCATGCATGGCACATAACTGACTGAGTAACAAGTTGCCTCACACGTTTCACGCACGATTTCATTTTCATGTATTTTTTCACTACTCTTTAGACTGTCATAGCTGAAACTTCTCTCTTACGTGCGAAATAAATTGAGTTGCACCATTTCTCTTTATCTCTAAGTTGAAATGATGATCGCTCTTCATGTTGTGACCTCTTGATCCAGTTTTCCTCTCTCCTGTTCCCCCTCTTTTAAACTTATTCACCGTTCTCTTGATTTTTCTTAAATGAACATCGAAGATGGAAGCCAGAGTTTTAATGTTGGTATCATTACTGTAGTGATCTTTTTCCTCTCACCATTGCTCAGTCACAAAGATAGTGGATCTGACACAAAGCAATTTTAGCCTGTTCTCTTTCTAGCTGAATAACTCAATGGGTTTTTCAGTGATTCTTATAGATATAGGGTGCGATCGGTAAATTGTTGCCATTTTATATTATAAATTCGCGCATGCGCTTTGTTTGTTTCTGTCGACTGCACAGTATAGTAGGGTCAGTTGGGCACCGCCTGTGAGAAAAAGAGCACCATGATGCAATTCACTCCGCCAGAAATTTGGAAACGGCATGCTTGGCATTAGCGCTGGAAGCTCCAATACGAACATTGTAGAGTGTTTAGTGTCAATCTGAAGACAGTGCAGAAGAATCGAAAAGACTTGGCCGAATCTAATAGTAATTACGAACGTGTTTGGAGTGATCACTGGTGATGGCGATGTTATGTCTCCATTCATCATTCGACAGGGCCTCATAGTCAACATGAAGGCCTACATCAAATGCCTTCAGTAGGTAGTGCTGCCCTGTGTCAAGAGGGAGACTGCTGGAAGACGCTATATCTGGCAACAGGACTCTGCACCATGCCACACAAGCAGAAGAACCCAGTCATGTCTGTCAGACAATTTCTTTGACCACAATACCCCTTACATCTGGCCACCTAACTCCCCAGACTGCAACTCCCTTGATAATTATGTGTGGGGCGCAATTGAGCGAGAGACCAACAAAGCTCCTTGTAATACCAAAGATGAACTGAAGGCAAGGATTATGGCAGCATTCAACAACTTAAACAAGGAGACCGCCCAGAAGAGATGCAGGAGATTCCAAAGTCATCTGAAGGCTGTGGTTGAAGCCAATGGCGATTTTATTGAATACATTTACTCTTTAGTATTTCAAGATATTTTTGTGTCATTTTTGGCAAATATATCTGTTAAAATGAGATGTCAATTTTATTTTCATTTTTTGCGCAATTTAGACGACAATTTATCCATTGCACCCTGTACATTATTTCGAATGTACCTTTTGAGTCGGATAATCATGGAAAGTGGGGGTATGACCTTCTGACATTCTGAAATGTGGGGAAAAAATGAGAATCACTGGCCTGGGAAGTACTTAGCTTCGTTTTAGGGGGTTATTTGGTAGCTTTTCCCCTTTAATATGCAGAGGGCAGACAAAAAGGACGTGCAGAAACTGGTACTGTATCAACGCCTGAATCCATCCATCGATCGACAAATATACCGAAAACTTGGTCAATTAAAAGAAATAGTATAAAACATTGAATATCGCTGCCGTATCTGGTCTTTTCTACAAATATCTATAAATCTACCATTTGTCCATTCATTGAATATCGCTGTCGTATCTGGTTTGGTGTACCTGTTGTACATCTCAAGATTCTTGACAAAATCCAAAGAAGATTCTGAAATATAATCGATCCTGACCTGGCATCTCGACTTCAGCCACTTTCTCATCGACGTGACGTGGCTTCCCTCTCTCTTTTCTACAAATATTTATAAATCTACCATTTGTCCATGCATTGAATATCGCTGCCGTATCTGGTCTGGTGTTCCTGCTGTACATCTCAAGATTCTTGACAAAATCCAAAGAAGATTCTGAAATATAATCGATCCTGACTTGGCATCTCGACTTCAGTCACTTTCTCACCGACGTGACGTGGCTTCCCTCTCTCTTTTCTACAAATATTTATAAATCTACCATTTGTCCATGCATTGAATATCGCTGCCGTATCTGGTCTGGTGTTCCTGTTGTACATCTCAGATTCTTGACAAAATCCAAAGAAGATTCTGATATATAATCGATCCTGACATGGCATCTCGACTTTTTAGTCACTTTCTCACCGACATGACGTGGCTTCCTCTTTCTTTTCTACAAATATTTATAAATCTACCATTTGTCCATGCATTGAATATTGCTGCCGTATTCGGTCTGGTGTTCCTGCTGTACATCTCTTCTTGACAAAATCCAAAGAAGATTCTGGAATATAATCGATCCTGACCTGGCATCTCGACTTCAGCCACTTTCTCACCGACGTGACGTGGCTTCCCTCTCTCTTTTCTTCAAATATTTATAAATCTACCATTTGTCCATGCATTGAATATCGCTGCCGTATCTGGTCTGGTGTTCCTGTTGTACATCTCGAGATTCTTGACAAAATCCAAAGAAGATTCTGATATATAATCGATCCTGACATGGCATCTCGACTTTAGTCACTTTCTCACCGACATGACGTGGCTTCCCTCTTTCTTTTCTACAAATATTTATAAATCTACCATTTGTCCATGCATTGAATATTGCTGCCGTATCTGGTCTGGTGTTCCTGCTGTACATCTCGAGATTCTTGACAAAATCCAAAGAAGATTCTGAAATATAATCGATCTTGACTTGGCATTTCAACTTCATTCACTTTCTCACCGACATGACGTCAATTCCCTCTCTCTTTTCTCCAAATATTTATAAATCTACCATTCTTCCATGCATTGAACTTTGTTCCATGATGATCCGACTACATGAATTGAAGTGTGCTACTAGATTGCCAACTAGGTCCCATCTTTTTGCTGTTGAAATAGCTAAACGGCCGAAACGTTGTAATAAATATGGCGACAAAGATAAGAACAATAGTCCGAATAATGTAAATAGTGAAAATTTATTAAATAAAATAAAAAAATATATTTTTTAATTCACTGAAAAGTATTACCTACTTATAATCTACTTAACACCTCATAAACACTAATTGGCACCAGCATTCTTACGAACTGACCTGTTCAGACAATTTCATTTAAAAAATCACACACTTGGATAAACAAAATAAAATATTAAAGATCCTTTACCAAAGCGAAGGGCAATACTACCCGCACTTATCGCACTCTCTAACCACTTACTGACTTGAAAATTTTGTGTCCCATAATTTCAGCCTTGTGCCACTTCTTAGCTATGCTTAGAAAGTTACTATATTTTTTGTTTAAATATGCGCATGTGCCAATAGAAGTGTGCGCATGCGTGCTCTCGGGGCATCTTTTTAAACTGTCATTTTCTTTTTTGTTGGTTTGTTTCTTCATCTTTTCTTTTTAATTTTTTTTTTTTTTAATTTCATTGCCTTTCTCGTTTCTTTCTTTGTATTTATTGTTTATTCGTCATCTAACTTTTTTATTAATTTTTTTTAGGATTTTTTTCCTCTTCATTTTTAATCTTTTTTTTTTTTTACCTCTCGATTTTTTGATGTTTCGACTTGAAGACACAAAAACAAATAGATCGGGAGAAATATCTGTACAGTTATTTCATTGGTGAGGTTCGCCTTTGAAGCCCGCTGTCCTTTGTCATAAAAATGAATTACGGCGCTCCTCGAAGATCAAAAAATAGCAAACGGACATCTGACA